CCCTGAGCACTGCTGGTGTGGTTAAAAAAAAAACAAGAGAGCTTTATAAAGTTGTCTTTTCTTGAATGTGCTTTGGCACTTTGAGGGACAGTATCTTCTTTGACATCAAATGTACCGGCTTATTGTTTGTAATACTCCCTTATTCTTTTTTTTCACTTTTTTCCCTTTATTTTATTTTTTTTACAGTTGTAGATTTACAATTTTTTGTGCTTTGGTTTCAATTATACAATGATCAGATACCCATCCCTCCACCAGTGCCCATTTTCCACCACCATGGATAATATCCCTCCCACCCCCATCCCCCCATCCCCCCTGTCTCTGTGGCAGGGCAATCCCCTGTGTTCTCTCTCTCCTTTTGGGTGTTGTGGTCTGCAAAAGAGGCATTGAGTGGCAAACCTGTTCAGTCCATAGTCTACTTTCGACATGCATCTCCCCTCCTGGGAGGATCCTCCAAACATCCTTTATTTGGTGCTCCCTTCTCTATCTGAACTGCCCTTTCCTCTAGGATACCCGGCTGGCCTCTAAATTATGGAGTAATCCTCCTGGTGCTGATCTCAGCTATTCTTGGGTATTAATCTCATACTTTGTTACTTTATATCCCCCAGATGAATGCAATCTTTCTACGTCTATCCCTCTCTTTCTGACTCATTTCGCTTAGCATGATACTTTCCATATTGTACCACTTGTATGTAAATTTCATGACTTCATCTTTTCTAACAGCTACATAGTACTCCATTGTGTAGATGTACCAAAGTTTCTTTAACCAGTCATCTGTTCTTGGGCATTCAGGTATTCTTTTAATATCTACTGAATTGGTAGCAATATTCTTTCATTTCTAATATTGTTAATTTGTGTTTCTTATCCTTCTCACTCTCATTACAGGGTAATTTTATTATCTTCTCAAAATCCAGCTTTTGTTTTTAACGACATTCTCTTTCCCATATTCATTGATTTCAGCTCTTTTATTATTTCCTTTCTCTGACTTACCTTGGACTTCCTTTTCTTTTCTTTTCAGTTTCTTTTTGGTACTTGGGTGTGGCTGTTGGTGCAACTGTATGGTGTCAGGATTTGAACCCGGTTCCTGCATGTAAAGCTCATGCTCCTCCTGTTGAAATCTCTCTCTGGTTCCTTATTTTGTAAAGTGGAAAGTGCAGTCACTGAGACTTTTTTTTAACCCCCTACTATAGGCATTTATTGTTTTAGAATTTCCCTCCAAATACTGCTTCAATGCAATCCCACCTGTGTATGCTGTGCTGTTTGTTTTGGGGCCACACCTGGCAGTGCTCAGGGGTTACTCTTGACTCTGTGCTCAGAATTATTCCTGCCAGGCTCCAGGGACCATATGGGGTGCTAAGGAGTGAATCAGGGTTGGCCCTGTGCAAGGCAAGTGCCTTACCCACTGTACTATCACACCGGTCACAATGCTGTGTTTTTTATTCAGTTCAAAATAGGTTCTAAGATTTTTGTTTTTGGGCCCAATGCTCAGGGGTTATTCCTGGCTCCGCACTCAGGAATTACTCCTGGTGGTGCTCAGGTGACCATATGGTATGTTGGGGATCGAACCCATGTCATCTGTGTGCAAGGCAAATACCCTATCTGTTATACATCACTCCAGCCCCTAGTTTTTAAATTATCAGCTATAGGAGACCTGACTAGTTTAGTGACACAGTGTTGCTTGGGCCTGGTGTTGTTGTAGGCCACCAGGGCAGCACCTGGTGGTGCTCAAGGGGATCAAACAGTGCCTGGGATTGCTGGGCCCTCTACATGTAGGGCACCCATACTGGCTTGGCTCTTTGAGATACATTGTAGGCCCGACATTTCTTTTTTAGGGAAAGTTGGGTCAAACCTGCAAGTGCTCAGGGGCTACTCCTGGCTCTGTTCTCAGGGGGTCACTACTGGCAGTAGTGCTGGGGATTGAACAGCTGCGTGCAATGCAAGTGACTTAACTCCTGTACTCTTTCTCCACCCCAAACCATTCTTTTTTAGTTATTGTCTTTATATTGAATATGGGGCTTCTTTTAGGCAGCAGAGTTGTATCTGCTTATGTGTGTGTGTTGGGGTGAGGTTGGGTCACACTCAGAGGTGCTCAGGAATGACTCCTGGTGGCTGCTTAGGGATTCATGTGGTGCCAGGGATTCAAACCAGTGTTGTGGCTGCTGCAACTGCATGCGACATAGGGGCCTTACCTACTGTACTATCTCTCTGGTCCTAGACTTTCTATTTTTGACTGCATTCTAAGGTGTCCAGGAGACCACGTAGTGTTGGGAATCAAACCAGGTTAGCTCCATGCAAGGCAAACACCTTAATGCTGGTACTACTATACCTCTTCAATCCTCAGAGTTGCATTTAAAAAAATCCCAAACTCTGTTTAAATGGGATCTTCAAGAACCCCTTAACTCTCAAAGCTACTACATCTTTGTAGAATGTTCTGATAATTAGAGCAGCCTTCCTATTAATGCACCCCATTTGCCTTTTATCACCTTTACACTGGAGTCACAGGAAAATTATTTCTATTTTCTCAAATAAGTTTTTCAGACAAACAGCAACATCCAAATAACTTTTTTTAAAAAAAATTTTATTAGTGAAACACCATGAGGTACAGTTGTGTACTTACAAATTTTTGTGTTTGGGTTTCAATTATACAATGTTCGAGTACCCATCCCTCCACCAGTGCCCATTCTCTACCACCACTGATCCCAGTATCCCTCCCACCCCCCGGACCCCCCACCCTACCCTGCCTCTGTGGCAGGGCATTCCCTTCTGTTCTCTCTCTCTTTTTGGGTGCTGTGGTTTGCAAAAGAGGCATTGAGTGGCAATCATGTTCGGTCTATAGTCTACTTTCAGCATGCATCTCCCATCCTGGGAAGATCCTCCCAACACCCTTTATTTGGTGCTCCCTTTTCTATCTGAGCTGCCTTTTCCCCTAGCATCCAAGCCATGGAGTGAACCTCCTGGTACTTATCTCGGCTACTCCAAGACAACTTCTTTTTTAAAAAATTTTTATTAGTGAAACGACATGATGTACAGCTGTAGACTTAGAAATTTTTGTGCTTGGATTTCAATTATACAACAATCAAATACCCATCCCTCCACCAGTGCCCATTTTTCACGACCACAGGTCCCAGTATCCCTCCCACCCTCCATCTCCCCCCCCCGGCCTCTGTGGCAGGGCATTCCCTTTTGTTCTTGCTCTCCTTCTGGGTGTTGTGGTTTGCAAAAGAGGCATTGAGTGGCAATCATGTTTGGTCTATAGTCTACTTTCAGCATGCTTCTCCCATCCTGGGAGGATCCTCCCAACACCCTTTATTTGGTGCTCCCTTCTCTATCTGAGCTCTCTTTTCCTTTAGCATGTGTGGCTGGCCTCCAAGCCATGGAGCAAACCTCCTGATACTAATCTTGGCCACTCTTGGCTGTTAGTCTCCTATTTTGTTACTTTATGTTCCCCAGATGAATGCAATCTTCCTATGTCTATCCTTCTCTGACTCATTTAGAAATTGAGCTCCCATTTGACCCAGCAATTTCTCTGGTTTATTCTTGACTTAAAAGTTTCTTCAGGGACTGGAGTGATAGTACAATGGATAGGGTGTTTGCCTTGCATGCGGCCGACCCAGGTTCGATCCCCGGCATCCCATATGGTCCCCCAAGCACTGCCAGGAGTAATTCCTGAGTGCATGAGCCAGAAGTAACTCCTGAGCATTGCTGGGTGTGACCCAAAAAAACCCCTCAAAAAATAAAAAAGGAAAAAAAAGTTTCTTCAGAATACATGGAGATAGCTGAGGAGATTGTAGAATATACTTTGCTCATAGGAGCCACAGGTTCAATCCCCAGCACCTTATGATCCTCCAAGTACCACTGTGAGTAAACCCCCTTCAAAGTTTCAACACAAAGGCAAAAGCTACTTTCCATTGGAAATACAAACAAAAGTATAATTAACTCGTTTTTTGTTCACTTTGGGGGGTTTGTTTTGTTTTGGGGTTACACCTGGTGATGCTCAGGGGTTACTCCTGGATCTGTACTTGGGAATTGGTCCTGTTGGTGCTCGGGGGCCATATGGAATGCCAGAGATTGAACCTGGGTTGGCGACATGCAAGGCAAGTGCCTTACATGGTTTTAACAAAGCACATTTATAGTTTCAGTTCTCCAACTATTTATCTAACAATTAACTTAACCCAAACAGTTATCCATTAATGGATAATGACAGAGATAGAGGAGGAGAAGGGTGGGGAAACAACCTTATCTCGACTTTTTTTCACTTCTGATTTGCCCAATAACTTTTGGCAATAACATTTCTCAAATATAGTGCAAATGTTTGTAAAAGCCCTCAGAAGTCCCTGAATGACACCATACAATCCTTGTAACATTGAATATATTCTCATGGATGAAAATATAAAGACTACCTTAAAATGTGTATTTAATTGATGCCTGATATAAGCATTCATAACGGTGTGACTGTATTTTTCTTGTGGTACTAGGGCTTGAATCTAGGGCTTCAAACAGTAGAGGTATGTGCTCTACCTCCTGAGCTATATCCCCAGTCCCTTGAATTTTGTGAGTTTAGCAGGGTTAATTTCCCTGGCATTTTTTTTCTTTTTGGGTCACACCCAGCAATGCTCAGGGGTTACTCCTGGCTCTGCACTCAGAAATTACTTCTGGCAGTGCTCGGGGGACCATATGGGATGCTGGGGATCAAATCTGGGTCGGCCGCATGCAAGGCAAAATCCCTACCCACTGTACTATCGCTCTGACCCTTCCCTGACAATTTTTAAAGATGATACTAAGGTTTTATCAGGTATTAGCCTGATAAAAATTTCTAGGTACAGTCGAAGTCCCTGAAGTTCTTTTTTGGTCCCTGGTATTTACAAGAATCATGACTTCTAAACATTTACTTCATCTTCCTCCTCTTTCCTTTTCCCCCATATGTATCAGTATAAAATAAGCATGTGAGATATTCTAAAGCCCAGATGTCAAAATAAAAGACATGACGCGGACAGTAGTTGATAGCTTTTATAATTTAATGAAAAAGTATTGGTAGAAAGGTGACATCTGAAAAAAGACGGAGCTAATCTTGAAAACTGGACTACATAAGACAAAATGAAAAAGTTAACAAAGAAGGTTAAGAGGTAATACTTCAAACAACAGCAAAATGTAGCAAATACATCTTAGGGCAATTGAAATTTACACAAATGAAGGCTCCTTCATTTAACAAGGAAAATTCTGTAAAAATATTACAACTATATTTCCCTGACTGAAATCCTTTTAGTCAATACTCTTCCCAATGGCATACATATGAAATTTGGCTGAAGCACTTTTTCACTGTTTGCTTTTCCTCTCACTCACTCATAATTAAAAGGCATGAAGTTACATAGGCTACTGAATTGGTCTCTAACAGAAGTTCACAACACAGCTCCATTATAATTTCTTTATCACGAAGGTGTCAAATTAATATCTACCCCAAAATAACTATGAAAAGCACAGAAACATAGTGCATTAAGTAGGTGAAATTATCTTCCTCATTTTGGATAATCCATAGCTTTTTTCATTCAAACAAAATACAGGACACCTACCACACATGCTATGGCGTGTTCACACATGTACACAGGCACAAAAGAAACATTTTGAAGATGTAGCCACAGTGAGGCAAAAATACAGAGCTTTTTGGAAAAAGAGGGTAAACACCAAAAGCAAAGGAACTCATTTCAAGGTCACAGGGACAAAATCAGGGAGAGAACTACTGAGTTTCCCATGCTGATGGAGAAAAGAGGGACCCCCCCCCCCCCGCCTTTACTGACTGGCACACCTTCAGCAGCTGGGCTGTCTTACCAGCATCTTTAGAAATCTAAAATGGCATTTTTCTTAAAATCTGAAAACTCCCACTACATTTTCCCAAACTAGAAGAAAGAGAATATTAATTTAAGGCTAAGAAGAAAAGAGCAGAGAATTATAGTCAGCTTCACATTTTAAAAACTGTAACATTTCCCCTTCTTTAAATGGGAAGCAGACATGTTTTATACCCCCTCCCCCAACAATGTAATTATTCTCTTCCTCCCCAAAATTAATGAAGGCTGATAGTTTGGGAACAGGGTGTAAGCAACTTCTGAAAAATGGCTCCAGCCTTTTTGCTTGGGAAATTTCCTCTGATTCAAAGTGGTACAAAGCTAAATTATATCCATGTGTTAAACACATGCCTTCAAATTCTGTTTGACAATAAAAATCTGTTTCAAAATTAAAGCAGGTAAGAATACTTAACCTCTGTGCATTTTACTATATTTTAATTATACCTCAATAAAAATTTTATAAACATTAAAGCAGGTATACAAAAACTGTCAGCCAAACTTATTTAAGTCAAACTTACTTGAAAATAACAAAAAACCCTGACCTGGCACAAATTCCCCCCCCCCCCACCCCGCAAAATGGTCTCACTTTGGGAAAGGCTCTGGGATCCTTCACAAATGCCTAAACTGAGTGAATCAGAGCATTTCCTTAGAAGTAGTACTTTTGTACTTTTGTAAACACTATCCACAATCAGCCTTTTACACTTGTTAGCGGGGGTGAAATAATTACAAGTGCGTCCCCAACAAACAAGTCTAGGAACAGGCACTGGACACCTAAAAGCAATAGGAGAATTGACTCAGTAAGGTGAGATACTGTGAAAGGAACTCATCCTTGTGCAAAAGCAAAGGAAGAGGGTAGTGAGCTTGACAGCATCTGAGATATTGGTCCCTGGTCTCTCCCTGAAGAGGGTTTCCAAGATACCAGTGTAATTAGGAATTTCCTACAGACAGAACTCTGGGAGTCACATGCTGTAGACAAGTAAGTCTTAGTGTTTGATTCATAATCTCTTGCAAATTTATTAACAGTGCAAGAAATCGTAATAGTATGTTCATTATTGTGTTAATGTATCTGAAAAGTTCTCCCAAAGTATTTACTGAGCAAATATCTTGGGCTGAGTTGTTCTCAATAGCCTCTGGTAAAAAACCTCTGGCAATCTCGATAATGTAGTTGTAAAAATTGGACTTGAAACCATTTCAAAAACTGCAAGTCAAACAGTTATGAAAACATTTTATCATTCTCACTACAACCCCTCCTAAAATATTCTAGAATCCTTTTGGTGTATGGTTTTTCCCCAATATATGAGGCACAGGCTCAAATATTCTTGAAATTTTTTAATCACCTCTGCATTGTACTATGAGAAAGGTGATGTGGTCTGCTTTTACCTCGGCAATCCCGCCTGGAATCACGGGACAGATTTTCCCTGTCTGAACTCTCCCTCTTTACCCTGACTTTTTCTTTAGTTCCCTCACTTTCTGGTTCGGAATCACTTAGCTCCACATCTGGGCAATAGCCATCATTTTCTTGATATGGAACTTTGCCTGCAGCCCGCCTAACGTGCTGCTTGCCCCAGTGCTGTTCCTTAGGGCCAATGTTCTTGGCAGGTTTGACATAGCGCTGGAGGTCCTCTGTGGTCCTCACCCACCTATTGGTGGTCTCCTTAAAGGACCGACTAAAGTGCTCCATGCTGGATTTCCTAAAGCTGCTCTGACTAGCTAAATGTGAGCTGAGCACAGGCTCACGGTCACAGAATGTCTCACTGGAGCTGTCTTTCTGGGTACCATCTCCTGAACAGCTGCCATCCACACCATTGGATTTGGTAAATTTGGAATTAGACTGATTTTTCCCATTCCCCATAGAGGACTGTCCATGAATGACAGCTGGAAGGACCAGAGGCTTACCCACTGACTGCCCGTGACATAACTCAGGAGACGAAGTTCTCCAAGCAGGACTAGGATCCTTTGCTTCACTCTTGGAATGGCCAAGGCTGGCCAGCAAACAGTGATTCTTGCCCTCTAGTGGGTATCTCGGGCATGATTTCATTCTCATTTCTAGTGGCTCCTGGGTGCCCCTTACACTGCGTACAGGGGAGCTGCTGCCAGGAGAGAGGGTTCCTTGATCAGGCTCTGTGGAGCTGTTCTGGCAGTCTTCTGAGGCTGACTTAGGCATTTTTAACTTTAAGGTAATTCTTGGTGGTGGGTAAAATAGTGAATTTTCTAGTGCATTTGTCAAAGGCAGTCCTGAGATAAAAAGGAAAGATGCTTTTAAACAACTGATTATATAACGACAGACTTAGTAATATCATGTGTACTACGGCAGAGTTATTCACATACCCAATCTTCATGTTTATCAAGTGCCTGTCTTTGCGTGTCTTCAAGCATTTTCACCTGCTCTTTCAGTTTTGAAAAGAATGTCACTAGTAATGGTTTAGAACAGAGTCTGTATGTTTATGTCCGTGTGTGTGTGTGTATGTATGTTTATATGGTTAGTGGGCAGTTCTCTACTTATGCCATATATATATGCCAGGGTTGAGACACTTTTTGTCTGCTAAGGACCACTGGATATTTATAACATCATTTGAAGTCCATATAATATAGGCAGACAGGCTATTGACAACTGACAAGAAGCATGCATGACTGGCTTACCAGGGCCAGACCATATGATTTGGCTACATGGACTGTGGGCCACTCTTGTTAGACATTTCAGATTCTACTCTCCCATCTCTCCTGGTCTCCCGAAGGCAAGTAAAATACATATTCAGAAATGTAGTACAGGTTTTAGAATTTGTGCTAAAATATTCTATCTAGCTTGAAGTATTTGAATAGGTGGTTTAACTTGACATTAGTAGAAGTAGCAGTGGATGTTTCCCACATATATTATGACCCTAAACAAAAATAATTTCATGATTACAAATGACCTTCATAAAAGCATGGGGTAGGTTTCATAGTGACAAGGCCAGCAGGAAGGACTTATGATATTCCAACCAGTGCCTGCTACGTGCTTGGCCTGAGGAATACTGGCAGTAACCTAGCTATGTCACTTGTCAATCATTTTAGAACAGATCTTCCTCTGTTATTCTGAGGGCTCTATAGAGAAAACTATCAAAAAATTCTTCCATGTATATGGATTTGATTTTTCCCCTCGCCATCTTCCTTTAGCCTCATAAAGATGACACCGAGAAAGAACTATGATGCTCCAATAGGAATCTTATGTTCCCTAAGGATCCATGCTAAATGGCCACAGTCCTCATTGCTACCAGAGGTTGCTACGTAGGATGCCACAAGTCACAATGAGGCTGGATCCCACCCATTAGAAACCACATAGTCTAGGGACTGTTTTCAATAGCATACAGGGACGCTTCTCCATTGTCATTGGGCTCTCCTGGTTGAACCTTGGAAGATCCAGGATTCTGCACACTTACCACGTGAATCCTGATTACCCAGGCTCTGTACTAAATGAGCCACTGAACATGACTATTATGATTCCAGTCAAGTTCTCCATGCTTAGATACTGTAATTACGTTCACCTGTTTCTCCTATTATGGCTCCCATAGTGTCTGTCTGAGACTTAGACTATCTCTTGTAGATGTGAAATTCTCCCAATCTCATTTTGAGATATCTTGATTCCTAAGCTTACAGTGGAATTGGTTGTGTAAGATTAGGTTGGACAGGAAATGTGGCATCTGGTCACAAATTTTGAAGGTTTTGAAGATTTTAAGATCAACATTAAAATTTAAATTGTTAAATAGGATATAACCAGAGTCTACAGTATTTCCTTGAACACTGTAAACATACAGATTACCTGCAGCAGTTTCCTGGTTAGCAAGCTGGACTTGTAAACTGAAGATCTGTTCCTGTATTTTGGTTTGTGACAATTTCATCTTCTCTCGTCTGCTTATCATGTAACATAGATTTCGGACCTGAAAACCCAATCCCCCACAAATAGAGATTTTGGTCACAATATACAAACATAGCAACTGAAATTATTTAATTAAAATTAAAGTAACTAAAGTCTGGGAGTGGGGGGTAGTGTGAGGAGAGAAAGCAGAACCCAAGAGCAGGTCAGATGTTGGATATGGTTACCATTTCCATCAGCAACACAAACAAAATGCTCCAAAATCACCTCCTAATATTCTCTCTGCACGACCATGGGCTCCATACTTATTTGCACAGTCAGGTAGGGAAGACTGGTGATCTGAAGTGCCAGGAATCAATCCCAGGCCTTCTGCATGCAAAGCATGTGCTCAGTCTCTTCAGCTAGTTCTCTGGCCCCCAGGATCTGGTATGATTTGCTAATGAATGCTGGACCAGCAGGATAAAGGTCATCTGGGAAGACTGAAAGTAGCTTTTCTGTTCACACTTTGTATTTCATTTTCCACATCCACAACGATCAATTCTTGTCCCATACTCCCAGACTTGGAAAATCATTAAACTTTTCTGTGATCCAGTTTATGAATTTTTAAACAGGGATAATCAATAGTGCTTTCTTCATAGGCTCATCATAGATTCAATGAGTTACTATGATTGATATATACATATGTCATATGGGGGGGTGGTTGGGCCATACCTGGCAGTGCTTGGGGACTACTACCAGTGACACTTAAAGGATTGACCATGAGATACTGGAATCAAACCGAGCTCTCCTGTACCCAAAGCATGTACTCAGCACCTGAGAAATCTCTCCAATCTATGTGTACCAAATTTTATTACTTTTATCCCATATTTTAAAATATGAGTAAAAGGGCCAGAGAAACAGTTCAATAGGCTAAGCACAGGCTTTACATGCTGGGGCCCAAGACTGCAGCTAATGGCCCATGCATTGCTGGGTATGGCCCCAAAAACTTAAAAAAAAGTTTTATGGGCTAAAATGTGGGCAGGACCACTAGATGAGAGAAAGGACCACTATGACAATGATAGAGGTAAGTGATCACTCTGGACAAAACTGGCTGCTGAAAGGAGGTAAAATGATATGCATAATACCCTTTCAGTAAGAGAATTGCAGCAAACCATACTGCACTGCCTCAAATGAAAAAAGAAAAGGGTCTGCCATAGAGGCAGTCTATGGGGCAGGAGGGCAACTGGGGACACTGATGGAGGAAAGTGGATATTGGCAAGTGAACTGGTCCTTGACCATTGTACTACTGAAAGTCAATCATGAATAACTTTATAAATTTGTGTCTCACAATGATACAAGTAAACAGTTTAAAAAAGTGCATGAGTTAAAGTACATTTAAATACAAATAACCCCTTCCCACAAAAATCAAACACAAATACTATTTTTACACTACAATATGGCCTTTAGAGAACAGTGGTTCTCACTAGAACCAAACAGTGATCTAGATGACACTGTGACTATCATGAAGAGATGTACTGGTTTCTAATGGGTAAAAAGCATGTGCTCAGTCTCTTCAGCTATTAAAACATCCTGCAGTGTAGAAGACAAATCTGCACAACAAAAAAAATGTCTAGCCCAAATGTCAACAGTGCCTGCTTCCAAGATGGATCCACTTTTTGTTTCATGAACTGTCTATCCACTGTAATATGAATCCACAGCTTCATTGGCAAAGATAATTTTAAAGACTAAATCTAACCAATATCATTTCCAAAAGTAATGTTTAATTTTAATATAAAATGATTAAACCATACAGATTAAAATGGCAGAATTAGCATATATAGCACTTAATTTTCCTTGAACCCATTCTAGTTGAGTCTCTTAATATGGGAAGTTAATTTGAACTGTTTCAACAGTTCATTTCAAATATTTGCTAAGCAAACAGTGCCCAGTGCATATTTTTCTTAACTGTGATAAAATTTTAATGATATGAAAACCAGGTGACAAATGCCAAAGCAAAAATAAAGAATAATTACTTCGAATTTAAAGTTCATAGCACTTATAAGTGGGTCTTTTTCAACTCCCTGAACATGTCTAGAAAATTTAATCAGTGCCCAATGTTTAGGGTCACAGTTGAATCAGAAGATAAGCAGTGATACTGAAGACCACACTATAAATTAGCTGAACTTCTCTATATTGGTTTTTTTTTCTTTGCTTTTGGGAATTCTCAGAGATCATTCCTGGCGGTGCTTGGGAGACCCTATGAGATGCTGGGGTTAGAACCTCGGTTCTGGCCCCATGACCTTCTATATATTTTTACAGTGCTAGGGATCAATTTTAGCTTAGGGCCTCATACATGCAAGGAATGTACTCCACTTGTGAACCACATCCCTGATCCTGCACTGACATTTAAAAAATAAAACTACATAGGGCCAGAAAGAGCAAAACAAGCAAAACCAGTAAATCATTCTTTGCATGCAGGAGGTCTGGGGTTGATCCCCAGCACATGGTTCCCTGAACACCATGTTGGGAATAGCTCCTTAGCACTACGAGCTGTGGCACAAAAATAAATATATAGAAACAAAATGGACTAAAGCTAGAACTACCTCTCTCTCCTAATCTTTTCTTACATTTTTTTTGGTTTTGGGTTACACTCCATGGTGCTCAAGGGTTACACCTGGATCTGCATTCAAGAATTACTCCTGGTGGTGCTCGGGGGACTATAGAATGCCAGGGATGAAACCCAGGTTGGCCATGTGCAAGGTAAGCACCATACCCACTGAACTCTCTTCCAGACCCCTTTTTAAAAACTTTTGTGCTGAATAGCATCCAGTGCTTTGTCTTTGCAAAGCAAGCAATCTGCTGTTGAGCTATATCCTCTTCCTTTACATACAGTGTTATGTAAACCAAGACCTACAAAACCAGTCACAAAGAGTAGTTCACCTTACCCTTTCTAGGTCCTGACGTAGATGCATAAACATTCTCATGCGAGTGTGAATACTCTCTTCTTTTGGCTGCACCAGACCATTTTCTTCATCCTCCCTTGGTGGAAATAACGGCTTATTGAAATTGCTTTTCCGTTTTAGTTTCCAGTAGTTATAGATAAAGTCGGCCGCAACTGTGGACATCTCCAGCTCTGTGGCCACATCTTCTGCACGGACTAGGGTGTAGAACTCCTCCTCCAGCTCCCGAAGCTTCTGTGCCCTTAGACTTATCTTCTCGCTTTTGGCCTGGCACTGCTCTGTAGCTCTGTGTAGAGTGTACTCAGACTCTCCCAGTTTCTGCCTGTTTTGGCTGTGCTTGAGGCAGTATGATTTGAACTTAACTTCATCTCCTTCATCTAGGATGGTCTTCATCTCTAGGCTATGCTCAAAGGCACAGGTGACATGAAAGGCAGTAATGCAGCTTTTTACTGAGCACTGCAGGAAAAGAAGATGTGTTAAGAAAGTGGGGCTGGGGGGAAGGTGAAACTTTACATTCTAACATCTAAATTGAGAGCCTTGGGGCCAGAGAAATAACATAGTGGGTGGGACACATACCTTGCATGTAGCCCATAAAAAAAAAATTGAAATATCATAGAAAGCAAAGGTAAGAGGGAGGATTGGTTCTAATTTGACCATAATAGAAGCTGTACAAGTAACAAAGAAAATCTGCTCTTATAAAAAGAAAGTTTGAGTAGTATTTGTTTATGAGCCACTACTGATGATGCTTAGGGGTTACTATTGGCTCTACACTCAAGAATTCTTCCTGGCCGTGCTCAAGGGACCATATGGGATGCTGGAGATCGAACCCAGGTTGGCTGCGTGCAAGGCAAGCAAGCGCCTTACCTGCTTTTTGAGTAGTATTTCTTTCTTTTTTTATTGAAACACCGTGAGAGCAGTTACAAAGTTTTTGGTTTAAGTCTCTGTCATACAATAATGAAACACCCAACCCTTCACCAGTGCACATTTTCCACCATCCAAAACCCCAGTATGCCCCCATCCCCCTGTGTGGTAGACGATTTCCACGTTACTCTCTCTCTACTTTGATTACATTCAATATTTCGACACCAAACCCACCATTATTTGGGATTTTACCCTAACACTCAGATCTGCCGAAAAGGCAATATTAGACAATTTGTTTTCTATTGCTGATTATGAATTGCATGTGATTACGCATGTGCATGATTTTGGAATTCTGAAGTTTTAATAATTAAATCTGGAGGAATTTCTGCCAAAAGCTAATGGGTTCCGAGCTTTGTTTTTTTTTTAATTTTTATTAGTGAGAGGTACAGTTGTAGACTTACAAATTTTTGTGCTTGGGTTTCAGTTATACAATGATCAAATACCCAATCCCTCCACCAGTGCCCATTCTCCACCACCACTGATCCCAGTATCCCTCCCACCCACCATCCCCCCCATCCCACTCTGTCTCTGTGGCAGGGCATTCCCTTCTGTTGTCTCTCTCCTCTTGGGTGTTGTGGTTTGCAAAAGAGGCATTGAGTGGCAATCATGTTTGGTCTATAGTCTACTTTCAGCATGCTTCTCCCATCCTGGGAGGATCCTCCCAACACCCTTTATTTGGTGCTCCCTTCTCTATCTGAGCTCCCTTTTCCTTTAGCATGTGTGGTTGGCCTCCAAGCCATGAAGCAAATCTCCTGGTACTAATCCTGGCCACTCTTGGGTGTTCGTCTCCTATTTTGTTACTTTATGTTCCCCAGATGAATGCAATCTTTCTATGTCTATCCCTCTCTTTCTGACTCATTTTGCTTAGCATGATACTTTCCATGTAGTACCTCGTTTCTGAGTCTCTGGGATCACGGCCAATAAGCAGCTCGATCAGCAGCCAGAGGGCTCATTTGTGGGCCTTGAGCAGCATTTCTTATCCTCGAATAAAAGTCATGCTGTGGACTGAAGCGATAATACAGCAGGTAGGGCATTTGCCTTTCATGTGATTGACCTGGGTTTGATCTCCAGCATCCCATATGATCCCCCTGAGCACTGCCAAGGGGAATTCCTTAGTGCAGAGCCAGGAGTAACCTCTCTGAGCATCGTTAAGTGTGAGCCCAAAACAGAAATCAAGAAACAAGTCATACTTTCCTCCCCACCCCAATGAGACCACAAGTCACCACCCACAAACGGCCTCTCTAGCTCTTGATCAAGCTGCTTAATGGCCACGATCCCAGAGACTCAGGAACAAATCTCGGAACCCAGCAGGTTTTGGCAAGACATCCCTCCAGATTTAATTGTTAAAATTTCGGAATTTCAAAATCGCGCATCCACTACTGCAGCCATGCGACATCATATGTTATTCATAACTAGCAATAGAAAACAAATTGTCTACTGTTGCCTTTTTGGCAGATCTGAGTGTTGGGGTAAAATCTCAAATAATAATGGTGGGTGTGGTGTCGAAATGTTGAATGTAATCAAAGTATAGAGAGAGTAATTTGGAAATCATCTGCCTTACAGGTAGGAGGAGGATGTGGGCTGGGGGTATACTGGGGATTTTGGTGGTGGATAATGGGCACTGGTGAAGGTACAGCTGTTTCATTGTATGACTGAGACTTAAACCCGAAAGCTTTGTAACTGCTCTCATGGTGATTCAATAAATAAAATTATAGGAAATGGGGAAAAAAGTAAGGTGGAGTTCATGCCCAATTCAATCAGCCTAATCAGTGGCTGAATAAATAGCAGTACTCGTACATAAAAAAAAACAAGTCATACTGTACCCTCTGTGCTCCCCATATCACTTGGTTTATGTGACATAAAATAACTAAAGGGTAGCCAAACACAGATCGTTTCTCATCAAATTTATAGATAGTAGAGACAAATATAATTTTTTAGTGAACAAGGTAGTTATCATTGAATGAAACTGGCTTAGAAAGATGTGAGAGGAGATGAAGAGAAAAAATACTTGTTCAAAAGAGTACATGGGCTTTCCAGAGTGGTAAAACAAGCAAGCAGAGAGACAAGCAAGTGTGATACATGTTAAAGGTGGAACAAGGACTTGAAGAGCTAAATATAAATTACTAAAACAGGACAATCTGTGAAGGCTAGTGACATGGCTCAAGTGGTATAGCACATGCCTTGCATGTATTAGGTTTTGGGTTTGATCCCCAGCACCATATAAATGTACCCTTTACTGTCAGGTGTGGCCTGGTGGTTTCTGTAACCACAGGTCATGGTCCTGGGCCTCTGAGCATCATTCTGTGTGATTGCCATACAATATATAAAAAGACAACACATTCATAAGAATTTGGACCTGATTTGTGCGTAGGGTTTACTTCTGGCTCTGTGCTCAGGGATCACTCCTGGTGGGACTCAGGGATTGAATCCTGGTTGGTCCTGTGCAAGGCAAGCAGACAACCCACTGTTCTATCATCTGGCCCCAGAACTGGGAACTTAAGAAGAAAAATAGACTGCCCTTTTGGCAAAACAACATAAAATCCAGTTATGGTTTTAAAAATTCTGTGATATCTATCTATAGTTGGAGGGCCATATATTTTAGTGGTAAAGGACCATTCAAAGATATAAATGGGTTAAATTTAAAATTTAAATTTATAAATTTAAACCCATAAATTTAAGGTTCTGGTGCCAATCAAATATCATTTCCTTTTTTTCCAAACACATATATTTAGCATTCTATTAAACAAAATACACTTTTAATATATCTTATTTATTTCTCCTTTAATTGCCATTTTTGGGGGTGTGGTTATATGCTTTCATTTCTCTTTGGTTATGTGCTGGAGCATAGCACAGCAGGTAGGGCAATTGCCTTGCACGCGGCTGACCCAAGTTCGATTGCTTAAGGTGATGGAGAGGTATTATTGCATTAATTAACATAAAGCTTTCATAAGATATAATTTTCATATAATAAAACATCACTTTTAAGTATATATATTTCAGTGGTTTATAGTGTATCTGAAGTATTGTGCAACCATCACTAAATAATTCTAGTATATTTTCATCATTATCCACAAAGAAACCTTTTGTCCATTTGCAGTAATTTCCTTTCCCCAAATCCGGTCTCAGTCACCAATATTTGACTTGTGTCTCTGCAGATTTTCCCTGCTTAAATATTCAATATAAATGGAATTACATAACATGTGTTTGTTTCTGCCTGATTTCTTTTTCACTTAGTATATTTTCAAGGTATATTCATATTATAGCATATATCAGTGTTTAATGCTTTAAAAATATGGCATTTAAAAATATGACAAATCCATCTTTTTAGTTTGTTTTGGTTTTGGGACACACCCAGCAGTGTTCAGGTTTGCTGTGAATAGAACCTGGGTCAGCTGCATGCAAGGCAAGTGCCTGCTTACTGTCCTATTTCCCTGGCCCCAATATACCACATTTCTTTACCCATTCACCACCTGAGGGATATTTACGTTGTTTTCATTTTGAGGTACAATGAAATATATTGCTAAGAACATTTGTGTACACATTTGCGCCACATCCCTACCCTTCATGTATTGTCCTTTTTTAGTCATTAATATTTGCCTCTACCTTCTATAAATTTGATCTGAGAAATATCTGCTTTAGCTTGCCATTTTTGGGGGTGTGGTTATATGCTTTCATTTCTCTTTGGTTATGTGCTGGAGCATAGCACAGCAGGTAGGGCAATTGCCTTGCACGCGGCTGACCCAAGTTCGATTCCGTCCCTCTCAGAGAGTCCGGCAAGCTAACAAGAGTATCCCGCTGCACAGTATAGCCTGGCAAGCTCCCTGTGGTGTATTCGATATGCCAAAAACAGTAACAAGTCTCACAATGGAGACGTTACTGGTGCCCGCTTGAGCAAATTGATGAACAATGGAAGGACAGTGCTACAGTGCTATGTGCAATAAAGATTAGCTTTACCGAAAGAAAGCTTTGACTCTTTATCCCCAGCTCCAAGCAACAAACTAAATTCTTGGACTGCCTTGCTTACTAAGAGTGCTTATTTAGGGGCACAGAGGTTATAGTATATATGTTATAGTTACAGGGGTTGTAGTGCTTTCCTTGCATGCAGCTAACTCCAATTTCATCCCTGACATCACATGGTCCCCAAGCACTATTGGAGTGACTTCCAAGACCAAGAATAACACTCAAGAACCCCTGGGTGTGGCTCAACCTCCCCCCAAAAGAGTAAGTTTATTTGACTGGGATGAGCCTTGGGCAATATCTGATAGTCAGTGCTAATCATGATTCATGGCAGAGGTTCTACGCCATGTGGTATCAGTTTGACCTTTGGAGATGATGGAGATTAAGATCAGCCATGTAGGTGGTCAGCTGTGTCTATGTGACCAATATCAAGGGAGAATTTTGCTTGGCAAGACTCTTATTACTATATATCATTATTGGGAGAAAGATTCACTGTCCACATGACTCTACTTGGAGGGGGCAAGTAGAAGCTCCATGCCAGGTATGTAGCTTTGCTTATTTTAATTTATATCCTTTGT